TTTGCCCTAAGAATGAAAGCAAGTAGGGCCTGTAATGCTATGACCATTCCAGAACTTCCAACCCAGCGCCAACGGCATCTCACATTATGTTAATCTATTGGAAGGACTCAATCAAAGTGACAAAAGCTGCATTGATAGATTCTTTTGTACAAGATCTATTATATTGTCCGTTTGCGCCCTTATTCATTTAACAAAAGTTGATTTATCTACTAAACAATCTATAATTATTCGGCAGTTTGCGCACAAGATACAGGGAGAGGAGGAGGGGAAGAAAAGGGAGGAGAATCCATGCAATCCTAATAGTACATTGGTACTCTTTGCGCCACTCTTCCACACTGTCTGAGAAAAAACATCGTTTGCAAATGCATTCCTTGTCCAAATAACCTTTTCTTTTTCAAATTTTGATTCATATTTGATCAAATTTGGCACATTGAAGTAATGCACGACAAAGAGCACCAAAATAAATCTAACATACACACACATACACACATACACATACAGTAGTGGACAAAACTGGTCCACTACTTTAAGATCATAGAATGCTTTTGGTATTAAAGAATACATCGTTTGGGGATCCAATTGACTTAGCAGTTTTTCGAAATTAATTTTTTTGAAAGCATTACGCATATATAATTACATCTGTTTGCATATGTTTTTGTATGTGTGTGTGTGTGTGCATGTATGTGTGTCTGTGTGTATATATGCATGTGTGTGTGTGTGTATGTGTATGTGCGTGTGTATGTATATGTGTATGTTTGTATGTATATCTATGCTTATATAGTAAACCACATATGTTCGTTCTCATCCATTGGTTTTGAAATCAATTTTTACTATTTGCTTGTGACATAAATGTGAGATGATGGACTGCTGTCTGAAATCTTTGAACAGATATTTCACTTGCCTTCTCCCAAAAGATAGACAATCTTTTTTTATTTTCATGGCCTATGAATGCATGAGTTCATTTATTCCATTCTTAGAAATGTACTTTCTGTGATTATGTCAAAATGAAGCAGTTTTAACGTCACCGACAAACTTCAAATTCATCGGTTAGTTGCGTAAAGAAGGAGAGAGGCGGAAAGTGATGTTGTTTTTTTAGCTAAATGGACCGACCAGTAGGCTTCATATTCTTTTGTATAATGCGCTGTGCAAATTTGCTTATCACTGCATGCACACACGCGACACAATGGCATGCACGATTGCATGCACAACCAGCTCATCTTTTATTTACAGAAAGTTATGTAAATACTGTCCCTTTCCTTGCGCATCGCCACTTTTCGTTAATTTCGATAAAGGCGAAATTTTTAAAAAAGCAGTTTATATCAACATTCTCTTTTCGTCCCTCAGATTTATCGCTATTCCATTTTTCTTCCAGTCAAAGGTGTAACGCAAGTAACCTTTGAACTTGCTTCATTTCAATACCTTATGAATTTGCAAATTTGCAAATACTTCTTGATTTAATTAGTCTTTTGTAAAGAAGAACTACAAATTATTTAAAGGACAAAAAAAAATCTCTTTGGGAGTCGCAGTTAATTAACATGTGAGACTGTTCAACATTTTTGCTTTCGGTTACTTATGTGTTATAAGTGAACAACTTTTTTAGGTGCTATCCTTATTAGCTGAATCTTCTTATCTTACACTAATTGGGTTACAGAAATTTTAAAAAAAAAAGAAATTGGAGTCTACCAGATCAAAATTTTGGAAAAAGTTGAGTTTGAATATAAAAGAGCGATTTTCTGAAAATTGCTACGTCTTACTGTTTTCCCTCAAAATCCCTAATCATTTTTTGGAAGAAACAATTGGATTTTATTTTCAGATATGGAAGATTCAAATACATTTGCCAGTACAGCACTTTAGTTCATTCAATTTCAAACTTTCTATCTGGAGCAGACGTTTGACTTTAAACACTCTGAAAAACAGAATGATTTCAAACAACACGAATGTTTGTTTTCTTCATCGGACTTATTTTTCTAATCTTTAACTGATATACAAAATAAACGAATTAGTAATATGTCGTAGGATTTGCAGATTGACCGATCGCTAATCAATTAAACGAAGTTTAGATTTTCATTGAATTTCTGTTCAAACATTTGCTATCGAGACTTAATACACCAAAAAACAACTCTTTCAGTGATTTAGTGATCATCAAAGCTTGTAATAAATCTTTTCCAATTATTTCAGAATTTCAAACCTAGTAAACAAATGGAAGAGGCTAACAAGGATAGCGATTCGACAGTGAATGGTTATTAGAAAATTTCTATACTATTCAATAAAATTTGGTTTCACATTTAACAAATTTATCCGATTTCCAATATACAGAGTTGAAAACATTTAAAAATTTAGAAATCAGTTATGGTCCAGGCATAGTTCAGAAGTTGTGTGCTCGATTTGCGCAATTATCCAAGGAACTCAATGCAGCACCTTCGCTGCGATCGCCACGCTTTAAACGACGAAAATCATCAGCAGAAAATCACTTCACTGTAATCAGTGAAATTCGTCGGTGCACTGTTTCAAAGCCAACGTTAGTTCTTTCCACCAGATATTTTCGAGGTCATTAAATTCGTAGTATTTCTGAATTTTGAAGATTTAAACCCAAACAAATAGTTTACGAATTTTTAATTACAGAAATAAGCTTCTTCTTAATGATGCAAAAAGCAGTATGAACTCCTGTGATGGACAGAAGCGTGAATTGCATTTTGTACCACCGATGAAGGTACACTTCTTAAAATATTTGAAGTAGCACAAAAAAAGTTGTGATCTGGAAGCATTCAAGCCAGATTCCCGTTGCCATAATTTCTTTCCTTAACTAATTCAAACAGTATTTGCTGCAGGTGGTTGACACGGCAGAGTTAAATGGCACTTATTTATATCACGCTACCGTGATTCCTGGTGATATTAAAGCAAATCGCAAAGCAAAAAAAATCGAATCGATACGAGAGAAATTCGAAAAAATCTCCGCGACTTCATCTACTATTTCACGTAAAAAGGTCTATCGAATCATTACCATATTACTGTTATGGAAGATATTAAGATCAAGGAAGAACTTTTACCTTCCTGTTCTTTGAATTTTCCTGAAATTTTTAATTTTGTTTGTAGCTCAATAAAGTTCGTTTTCGACGAGGTTGCAGCTTGCCTACTGTAAACACCGAATTTCCGAATGGGGAACCTGAATTGGTGGACGCGCAGAAACAAATTTGGAAAGCTCAGCATGATGGTACTGTGTTAAAATCTTTTTATTGGTACATAAAAATTTAAGAAAAGCAAATATTTAGATTAATTTCAATCAGAAACTCTGTTTATATTATCAAGTATGTAAACGGAACTAAGGTTTTTCTTTTTTTTTGGTAAAATCCTAACTTTTTTTAGAAAGCTTTGAAATAGAACGAAATAACAGAGATATACAACTCCCGGTTTTAAGCGATACAGCAAGAATGGTAATAAAGTTGGCACCGCCTGACGATAATCTGACTGTCACAGAGCTTTCCGCAGTACCAAGTGTATCATCCTTGTCTAACTTCGAGCATTTCCAGGTAATTCACACTTGAGATCAATGAAACACCAGGTAATGTGTCATCAACTAAAATAATAAAACTAACGATGTAAATCAAATAGCTGCGTAGCATCCATCCCATTATATCCATTTTACTGTTAATGTAATTGTTCATTCAGTGATTAATTATTCCCTGTCCTATGTCACCCTTCCTTCTATTTCATATTCTAAACATTCACCATAAGCATAATAGTATTTGGCCTCATTCGATTGTTCTGAATCAAAACCATAAGACACGCACAAAATTTGCTGTACATTTACAGCAGGAAGAAGAGAACGATCAAATAGAAAAACCTGAAAAAGAAGTTAATGATGAATCAGGCCTTGAAAGATCATTTCAGTTCGAAGATATTTCAAGTACTTCCATCGCTACTAATAGTTCAGGTAATTTATAAAAAGTTCGAATCTATGCTTTCCTCAACTTTCATTTACTGATTACGACACAGTCGGTGTTCGTCAACATCCTTTAACTTCACTTATATGTTGAAAATGACGAGGAACCAAGTAAAAGCGTTTTTTTCATAATTAGCAATTGTAAAACTCATTCATGTCATTTCGTATTTGTAGGAATTTTCTGAGTACAACAGATCTTTAATTTTGCATTGTAATTAACAGAGAAGAACTGACCTATAATGACCACAATAAACATCCACATTTCCATAAGTCTTTTTCGCATTCAAATGATAATATATCACTTTTGTCTGTAATTGTTAATTGACTTTAATATCTATACATTTGTGCATTGAAAAGCTTTCCATACCACTGATTATTTAACCGTCAATTTATTATCTGGAGAACTAATAGCACTGACGTTTACGAGAACTTATACGTCCTCTTTTTTCAGTTTTAGTTTATTTCGCGACAGCCTTTTATAAGTGCTATGACAAATAAGTGCTACTAATTACTGGAATATAGAATCCTTTAGTCAAAGGAATAGAATAATATTTCCGGCAGATCGGGACTATCAGTCGAGAGGAACCATATCAGACTGCTTCCTTCCTGCGGGACTGGGGTAAACTGCAAAATTTCCCGGCAATAATTTCCCAGTTCACTAGAAATATTCTTTTTTTGTTAGTAAATTGAAGAAGTGAATGATGACAAATAATCAGAATGTACGAATGTGACAAATTTTTTGCTGTGAAAGGTAATGTGCGACTCAACGTTTCGTAATGTTTTACGGAAATGAGGAAATAGTCAGGTAATTTAATGAAGCTAACTTGCAGTTAAAATGCCTGCCGGAAGGCAAAGAGAACAAGTCGGCTTGCAAGAAGTACATCGTTTGTTAAAAAAGTTCAATGAAATCCGAGAACAACGAGCCAAAAAAGGCATACATAAGGACATGACCAGTAAAAAAGGAAATCAGTATGACACGGAGGAGGATCATGATCTGTGGATGCGAGTGCAGGTTCGCTCTACATCTATCTTGTGCCATTCAGTTTCATATCTCAAAGAATTAAAATTGTACAACAACGCAATTTAAATTCCTTCCTATCATTAATCTCGAGATCCGAGACTTATTCACAGGTTGAAACATATCTTCTAAATCACTTCAAAAATATAAATATTCAAATGTTTTACGAGAGTTAACCTTTTTTCACTCTTTAATGCTTACTAGTTCTAGTGCCAGTATGCTTCTCGAGTTTCAACTTCTGATCCTCACTCAATTCCTGGTTTTAATCATGGCTTACATCTGCTATATAATAAGAAGAAAGATTGTTTAAAGCACATCAACTTGAGCAAGGGAATGAATGCATTGAGATCAGTGACATCTGAACTTCAACCTATTTCTCAAACAAATCATTCAGGTGAATCCTTCTTACGATCTAAATATTGCTGTTTCCAAAAATTTGTTGCTTATTTCTTCATTTATCGAGAAATATGAGTGAAATTGCATAGGAGTGTATTTGATGCGATCATTTTATCTAAGTTTTGGGTGATGTCTCTTTAATTGCTTAGAAAAACATTCGCCGGCTGTGTTGCAATCGAAAACGGGATTTACTAATATTCTCTTTTTTTCAAGTATTCCATGATCTTTCATCGTTTCCAATACTCTCATCTCTACCCAAAACTTCACTTTATTAATTTCGCTCCTCAGGTAGGAATACATCAATAGTATTTCAATGGGAAATAGTTCAATCCTAAAACTCGAATGGAATAAGGGGTGGAGGGAAATTTCTCGACAAGTGCACCACTATTTTGATTAGATTACCAAATGCTTTTTTATAAACTTCTAGAAAAGTTAAGGGGAATAGGTGACAAGATGATAAGTATTAGTCGTGAATTTATGAGATTTATAAGAGAAAGTTATAATCTTGATGACTGATCTTTGTTACCAACGATGTGCCTAATATTCTTTGAATCTTACTGCATTCCCATGTTTATTTAAAGTTTCATCTGAACAGAAGAAAAATGATATCTACAACCAGTAGTAGCGGTACTGCTTTACATTACTGAGATAATTATTGCAGTCAGGAAGAAAAAGTCAGATGAGCTTATCATTGTTTACTTTGCGATTTTCGTCTCAACATCATTAACTGTTTTGCATTTCCGGTTCTGCTGTTTTACATTTCCGTTTTGCACTGTTTTGTATTTCCGGTTTTGCTTCGTTTGATTAGTCGCTGCACTTTTATTTCAAGTTTTCCAGTTTCGGTTGATTTTTGAAATTCTTCAAGAGCTTGCCATAATGGGTAATTTATGAAAAGGATAGATAGAATGTTAAGAAGTAGGTAATCGCAGTCTTGTGAAGATATGAGATTAGTCATCAAATAGAACAGTAAGTGACAAATGGTGAATGTTAAAAAAGAGGGAAGATGAGTGGTACTACATTGTTAAATATATCAGTATCTTATAGAACGCATTTGAATGACTAAATGAAAAAAAAACAAATTTATGATATGGTGCAACTGACTGTGTGACATTGGACTACTTACTGTACTGATACAATCTTTTTTTCTTTTCTTGATCAATCGGAAAATATGCTCTTGAAATATTCAGATATTTATCAGTCCTTCTATTATAGCAAATAAGAAAATTGAAATGGGAAAGAAACTATAGAATGAAAGCAATCAATCGAAACCGAAAAACTCGAAATGGTTTCAGAAAACAACAGGTACTAATAAGACGTAGAAGAACAGATAATGCGAAATAGTTAACTGATGCTGGGACAGAGGAGACTTGGTAACTTTTGAACTGACCGCAAAATAAACAACAACAAGCTTTTTCTTTTCCTTTTGGAAGTACAATATTTGACTACTTTATGTTAAATTTCCACTCGTTTTCGTCATTTTCTAATTCCAATTCTAAATAATCATGAACTCTCAATAATCATGAACTCTCAATAATCATGAACTCTCAATAATCATGAACTCTCAATAATCATGAACTCTCAATAATCATGAACTCTCAATTTTGGGATGATCATAAAAACTTCTCCTAATATTACAGCAAAAGTGCCCTTTGATTTATGTTTATTCGAATTCTGTTCCATTCATTACAACAAATGCAAATATAACTATTTGTTGTTTCCGTTTGTGCGTAATACTTTTGCCAGTGTGCTTGCTCTTTGGCTTGTAATATTTCGCGCATTCTTCTATAGCTATTCTTATAAATTTATTTCTATGCTCTCACAAAATATCAAGAATTAAAGGTCTTTTGTATTTTACCTTATGTAAAAATACAGTTTAAACTAACTTTCAAATATAATAACCTGACAAAAGAGTCTTTTCAGTACAGAGATAGAGAGCATGATAAGAAAAATGTTTAAATGAGCTCCGTCTTGTTATCATATCAACCTTTATCTGCTCAACAAATGTAACTTGTGGAACTATGAAGGGCTATGTTGATTCCAGCGTTCTATGTACAGCGTTCTAGTACAATGTGAATTCATTCTTCATGACACTGTCTTCATAATTCTTTATATCAATTCTCTTTTTTCTTGAAAAAATCACGATGCCAATTATAGAAACTTTCGATTTGATTTCTTTAATTAACAAATGATTCCAGCGTTTATAAAAATTCAAATTAAAACTGCAAGGTTGAAATGTCCAA